GCTGGAACATCCACTTGCACTGTAATCGCATCAAGGAGGAACAAGAGAGACTGGACTGAACTGGTGGGCAGGCAGAACAAGCTGTGAACTCACACAGCACCGATCGTGCCGTCCCCACCCCCTCACCCCAGCAACAGAGGAACCAGCCCCTGTCCCACAGGGCCGGGCGACTTTCAGAGGCCCGGGGTCTGCTTTCAACCTTGCATCTCACCATCAGCCCCACAGGTGCCACTTATTTAGGAATAAATCAAGCACGCACGAATGTATGCACACACGCAAGCAAGCATCTGCCATGGCTTTGCAGCACCAGAGCCTTTTGCCATTCCAATTTTGATCCTTTTGGTATTCTGTATCCACATTCAGGTGCCTATTCATTTTCTTCTGTAATGAATTTGGGAAACAGCAGGTGGCAGTGGGGGCCACTTGGAACCCAGGAGCTGCATATTGGCTGCCTGTGCCTTTTCATCTGCTCTACCCAGCTAATGGGATGATGGGAGCTGTAGACTAAAACATGCAGAGGTCCACAAGCTGTCAATCCTGGATCTGTGCCATACTACTGAAATGAAGAAGGTAGGATAGGTGGGTAGCCAGAAGTGGCTGTCATCTTCCATTGGACCCAGTGAGGCCAGTGGCCAACCTTCTGGGCAAGGTCCTTGAGCAGGTGGTTGCAGACCAGCCCCAAGTGCTCTTAGGTGGGACTGATTATCTGGATCCATTTCAGTTGGGAGTTCAGGCCAGGTTCTGACATAGGAGCAGGCTCGGTATGATGACTGCTGTCAGGAAAGTGACAAGGCGTGACTCATCAGTTCTCCTTGATCATTTCTATCAACCATGTGATCCTTCTGCAGTGATTGTCTGAGCTGGGGATGGGGGCACCAGATGCTCAGCTTCAGAAGGTAGGACTTGGGGGCTACTGCTTGACCCCTTGGATTCTGCAGGGTTTTGTTTCGCTCCTGTGCTGTTTAATGTCTATACCGTGTCTACAAGGTGGCTACATGGTGATGGCACATCATCACCAATATGAAAGGCAATATGTTCATTGAGTGGCACTGTGGAAGTGCTAGACTGGTGCAGGGTTGCAACAATGGCCTGGATGAAGGCTAATAAACTGAAACTCAGTCCAGACAAGACCAAGATGCTATTAGTGGGTGCTCCTGACCAGCTGAATATTCAGTCCCTTCTAAATCTAACCCCTGCCTCCCCCTGCCCCATTGCTTTAGAATTCTAGTGGAGCCAGCATGGATGCTTCAAGCTCTGCTTACCTTTGATCAGCTGCAGCCGCAGTAGTCTAGCCTCTGGTAACCACCCCGTAAGATTACTCCAGTGAAGTGTACGTGAAGCAGTCTTTGGGGATGGTTTAAGGACTGTAGCTTGTGTAAAATCGCATGGCCAAAATGATCAGTTCTGAGCATGCAACTTGTATTAGCAGTCTATATATTTCCAAGCATGATTCAGGGTCCAGATTTTAACCTATACATCCTGAAAGGAGGGTGCTGTGCTTGAGACCAGCCAAGATATTCCATGTTGTTGTGGTTCTGTCCTGCCTCATGAAGCATCTAAGCTTCAATGTACTGCTAGAGGAAACCTCCTTTGAGTTGGCCCATCAGCAGCTGAAAGGATGGTTTAAACAGTAAGGCCAGGTGCTTCTTAGGGCAAGATGGGACCAGGACAATGTGAGCATCCTTGCTGACCAAGGAAAAGGGCAGTGTCAGCAAGAATCTGCACATCATCGTCACTGATCACAGGGTAGGCATGTCAGTTAAGCCATCAGCCAGTGTCTAGTTTTCTGGCTTTGTGGAGATAGCCAGTGTGGTATGGTGGTCTGACTGCTGGACCGGGAACCTGGGAGATCCATCTCCTACTTCTCACTTGGCCCAAAGCTCCCTGGGTGACCAGTTACTCTCGCTCAGTTTAACCTACCTACCTCACAAGGGTGGTTGTTTTGAGGATAAAACTGTCTTGGGTTCCTCACAAGAGGAAAAGGGGTAGGATATAAATGCAATGTCATAATATTGTATCTTTCTTTCCTTCTCTCTGCAGGATCACCGTTCCAGGGCAAACCTTCTCCAAACATCAGATCTCAGGTGAGGAACC